GTGTGATCGAGGCGTAATATCCTTCCAATTCTCACTCATAGATACAGTACCTAGCTATATAGACACCCAAGTCCACTCCGAGCGATGTGAATTCAGGCAAAATACCCACAGCAAAGTTAGCTAGCTAGGTTGGGTACTGAACTTAGACGGTTGCTAACTAACGTTAGCTTCAAAAACACTCAAACCAAGAACACGTTGGACAGCGAATTGTCAGCATTTATAAGGTAAGTCAGTTACGAAATACGCCTGAAAGCTGATAAAAGTAGTTAACTAGGCATAAACCTCGTTATCTCTCTAAATGCCGACGTTTGAGTCCTACCATCCCACAGTATGTCACATCATGGCGTGCCAAACATCCACGGCACTCGCGTCCTCTTACCTGCATGGAATCGGCACTGATTATCTCTCCCTGACGTCGTTTACCAATTTCAATCGCCAGTTTAGACTTCCCAGTACCGGTTGCTCCTAAAATCACGACTAACGGTGGTACAGTACTTTTTTTCAGAGCACACTGCAAGCCTCGTACGGGCGCCGCCATGTTGCTTTACCGTCGTTTCCCAGCTGGTTAGCCACCCCCCTGCTAACGGAGGCGGGCTCTGTAACTAGGCAACGGTAAGAGGTTACCATGGCACCGGCGTGAATTAAAAAGTCGAGTTTAGACTGGGAAGGTATTTTGTTCCACAATACAATAGAAAAATACTACGCTAACCTACATATGTATCTCACTGAAATGTACACTTTTTTTTTAAAAGTCTGCTTCCAGAAACCATATTAGGCTGTTGTTATATGTGGACAAAGACAACACTACATTTTATCATTGTAGTGTCTTTCTACACCAATAATAATAATAGGCTATGTATTTTCTGTTCATGATTTACTTTACTAAGGGGACTGCTTCTCCTGGCAAATCCATCTTGTAAGGGTTACTATAGAAACGGAGGGGAGCAGAGCCATAGTAACTGAAGATGCTTGTTGCTATGGCAATGAGGGCAAGATGTTTCTGTGGAGAAGGCGTTTGAAGAGTGGGAGTAGTTTTCACTCACTCACACAAGTGTTGATTTTAAAGTACAAAAAGGACACCTCTCTGAAAATCTCTTGGTTTTTTTTCAACCCTGCAAAGTGAGGCAGAATTCTAGTACCCTACTAACACAGTTGAACTTACTTCAGGAAAACACAGTAAAATAGGGCAGTTCCTTCCCACTTATCTCACAAGTGTGTGTGAGCCTGTCCTCCCAAATTAGGATGTCACCAACCTCCTGTGGTGTGAATGATATACATTGTCAGTGTATATGAACAAGAAAAATGCTGGACATTTAAAAAAAAAAGAGAAGAGACTGAGGTGATGTTTTGAATTTATTCATTTGTCTGATTCTCCCTGTACATATAGGCTTGAGGTACTGAAAACAAAGTGCTTGAGACAAGGCTGCCTGCCACCATATTATAATTCCCAGAGTGAAGTGTATTATGGTCCACTGCCAACATGACTGTGTCTAACAGACAGAGAGACCAGTGACAAATCAAAACACCAGTGGGCTACAGCCAATCCTGAGGAGGCGGTAACAGACCTGGTATATGTGCTGAAAGAACAGAAGAGAAAGTGGTGAAAGTGAAGAGATGCCCTTTCTTCCTTCTCTCTCCTCCCTTCCAACTGCTCTTTCCCCTACTTTCCTCACCCTCTCCATCGTTCCTCTCTCTATCTCTCTCTCACACTCTCTACTCTGTGGGAGGCAGAGGGAGTAATCCAAGCTTTCAGGATTAACATTAGGAGCAGCTCCACCTCTCTGAACCCAGGCTGCCAACCTGAACCTCTAGCTCCCTGGGCCCCGTGTACACAAAGCGTCTCGGAGTAGGATCAGCTCCCTGGGCCCCGTGTCCACAAAGCGTCTCGGAGTAGGATCGCTGATCTGGGATCAGGTCCATTTATAATCTTATTTTTGATCTACAAAGCCAAAACTGGTCCTATATCAGCACTCCTACTAAGGTGTCCTGAGATCTCTCTCCCTAGTTAAGAATGATGACAGGCCACTGAGTAGCCTATATTAAAGACATCATCAAGTCTGTTACAGTACAGGATTAGGACCGGTCCCAAATGGCACCCTATTCCCCAAATGGCACCCTATTCCCCAAATGGCACCCTATTCCCTATAGAGTGCAATATTTTTGACCGGGGCCCATAGGTTTCTGACCCCCCCCCCCCCCCCCCCCAAAAAAAGGGTGCACTATATAGGGTATAGGACCCATAGGGTTCTGGTCAGTAGTAGTTTACTATATAGGGAGCCATTTGTGACGTATCCCTAGTTTCAGAGCTACTCTGTTGCTATGGCTTGAACTAATCACCCCCAGACTTTCTAAGTAATGGGCTGTGATACAGCTGATGGGATAGGGCTGAGACAGTGGGGTTCACTTTAGGCTACGCACCGACCAGCTAATGCCTTTAAGAGCTAGATCCTCTTAGGTACCCTATTGGGAGATTTTAGAAAGTGCTAGCTAGATAGTGATTAGATTGAACAGAGGAGCAGTCTGCAAGTGATTTTATCTTAAGGAAATCTAATAGAGAGAGAGAGAGAGAGAGAGAGAGAGAGAGAGAGAGAGAGAGAGAGAGAGAGAGAGAGAGAGAGAGAGAGAGAGAGAGAGAGAGAGAGAGAGAGAGAGAGCGAGAGAGGCAGCACATAACCGCCATACGAACCACACGTCTAAATAATAATTTTTTTAAAACAGTCTTCAGCTCACACCAAAAAACAACTCTGTAGGAAAATATAGTACAAAACTCTGACCTTTTGTACAAATCAACAAAAAACAACATTAGAACTGTAAATAAAACAGGCATTGAGAACAGCGTCACGAAGTGGCTAGTGTGATCAAAGTAAAGTTTCAATAGTGTTATTATTTTAATGTTTATTTATTTATCCTTTTTATTAACAAAAAATAAGCATTTTGAGATCTTTGAGTTAAGCCAGTTTCAGGACACGGGAAAAAAAATAAAATAGGAAGAGATCTGAAAGCTCTGGTTTTGGTTCATTAGGGACTGTACAGAAGGATACTAATATGTCTCACACACACACACACACACACACACAGAGAGAGAGAGATACAAACACACAGCGAGACATGCACGCGCGCACACACACACACACAACAGTCTATGTACATTACCAGGCTGATCTGGACATACTTCAATCAATGGATTCACTCATGATATCATAGGCCCTTAGACAATAACAGGAAATATAAGAGATGCACAGTTTGCAAATATTTATAGGGGCAACTTCAAGATGGAAAAGCAGATGTTCAATTTCCTATCAGTTTCAAATAAAATGGCATTGTTTGCAATGGCTAACATTTTGATCAATATAAAATCAATTAGTCACTGACTGGTTTCAATGTCACTGAAAGTATAAGATATTGTTGACTTTGTGTTTATCAAAATGTATTTTGGCTAGGATTATATTTCAAGATGTTATATCAACAAAATCGGAGCCGTTGTTGCTTTAGCGAGAGATAATATTCTTTACACGTGCATACAATCAATAAATCTCAAACACTGCCTACATGGCATGATCACTTCTTATCAACAAATATCAGTCTTCCTATCGGGAAACATTAATGAACATTTTTTAATATGTACTTATTTTACTTATTAATCTGGTAGATATTAAAGGGAGATAAAATGCCAGCCCAGAATCCCCCCCCCATATGATCATGTGACATCAGGTTACTGTCCTTCCTGACTGGATGATTGCTGTCAATCACTCTGAAGGAAATGTGCAAAGACCAACAGAAAGATCAACACCATAACACCACATAACCCACTCCCCACCCCACAAAGTCAACGTTAGTGTCTTTGCTCCTTAATCTAGTCCTGTGTGTGTGTGTGTGTGTTTCTTTACACCAAAAGTGAGTATACGGGAGTTCACAGCCCCATCCCAACACTACCCCTACCCACAGCCCCATCCCAACACTACCCCTACCCACAGCCCCATCCCAACACTACCACAGCCCCATCCCAACAACAGCCCAATCCCAACACTACCACAGCCCCATCCCAACACTACTCCTATACCCTTTCCATTGATTGTTGTTGTGCTTGCAGATGTTGAACCACTTTCCTAAGAATAGGGGCAAGGGATCCATTTGGGATTGGGCCAACGAGAGCAAGAAAACCCTATCTTGATCCACCCCTGGTTTTGACTCAGTCCTGGTATTATAATATAGGGTTGATTTCCACTCCTGGTTTTGACTCAGTCCTGGTTTATAATATAGGGTTGAGATCCACCCCTGGTTTTGACTCAGTCCTGGTTTATAATATAGGGTTGAGATCCACCCCTGGTTTTGACTCAGTCCTGGTTTATAATATAGGGTTAAAATCCACCCCTGGTTTTGACTCAGTCCTGGTTTAGAATATAGGGCTGAGATCCACCCCTGGTTTTGACTCAGTCCTGGTTTATAATATAGGGTTGAGATCCACCCCTGGTTTTGACTCAGTCCTGGTTTATAATATAGGGTTGAGATCCACCCCTGGTTTTGACTCAGTCCTGGTTTATAATATAGGGTTGAGATCCACCCCTGGTTTTGACTCAGTCCTGGTTTATAATATAGGGTTGAGATCCACCCCTGGTTTTGACTCAGTCCTGGTTTATAATATAGGGTTGAGATCCACCCCCTGGTTTTGACTCAGTCCTGGTTTATAATATAGGGTTGAGATCCACCCCCTGGTTTTGACTCAGTCCTGGTTTATAATATAGGGTTGAGATCCACCCCTGGTTTTGACTCAGTCCTGGTTTATAATATAGGGTTGAGATCCACCCCTGGTTTTGACTCAGTCCTGGTTTATAATATAGGGTTGAGATCCACCCCTGGTTTTGACTCAGTCCTGGTTTATAATATAGGGTTGAGATCCACCCCTGGTTTTGACTCAGTCCTGGTTTATAATATAGGGTTATACAGAGCATACTGCTAGAGCTTCTCTCCCTGCCAGCTGCTGCCAGTGAGTTGGTTTTCATTCAGTCCTGGTTTCTGTCGACTAGAGGTCGCTGCCAGTCAGTTCAGGGGCATTGTTTGAGCTGTGCCAGCCTGCGGAGTAGCTGCTGCTGCCTGGCCTTCAGCTGCCGTTTCTCCTGTGCCCGCTGGCGCTCGCTGGAATGCAGCTGTGCCAGGTATTCCGTGGCGTGCGTCAGGATGGCCACCTTGGGCGTCTTGGGGCACTCTGCCAAGCCAGGGATCTTGTCCCGCAGCGCCAGGAAACGAGAGCGCAGGTCGTTGCGCCGTTTACGTTCCAGGAAGTTGTGCGTCTTGCGTTTGTCCGTGTCCTCGCAGTCGGAGGACTGGGGGCTGCAGGTGTGGGAGCAGTGGGAGTAGGAGGAGAGGTGGTGGGAGGAGGAGGATGGGGGAGAGGCCAAGGGGGAGGAGGCAGGGGAGAGTGTGTTGGCGTCAGGTGACTCCGAACCGGCCGTTACTACTGCGACGTGAGGTGGTTTGCTCTCAGGGTTCTGATTGGTTGAGGCGGGGCCCGGGTGTGGCTGGGGGTAAGATGAGTTTGAGATGTTATGAGAAGAGTTTGGGTGCTCGTGTCGGACCCTCTTCCTGGGGGGCTCGGGATGTGTGTGTGTGTTGGTGTGTGTGTCTGGGGAGGGTGCTGCGTAGTTATGCTGCTGTTGGTGGATAGAGATGTGGAAGCGTTTCATACACGGGTCCAGAGGGTCCGCTCGAACCATGATGGTCACCGGCGTCCGCCCGTTCAGCCCGCCGGGCCTGCCGTTGGTCAGCCGCCGGGGCTTGTACTGGTTGCGTTCCACCGTCACCACATCAATCTCCTCATCATCATCCTCATCATCGTCATCATCATCATCGTCATCGTCACTAGATTCATCATCTGGAAGAGCAATAGAGGAGAAGGTTATGTGCATGATGTGTATTCACTTGATCCTTTAGAAATCACTTTTAATTTACCCTTTTATATTCACAATAACACGTTCACAAAAAAACATTTAAAAATAGTATAAAATTAACTTGGGAGGGTTTATTTTTAATTTTTTTAATCTAGTCCAGGGGAGGGTCATGTAATGTGTAATTGATGAAATATTTCAGTGTTTTAGAATGAGTAGCTTATTAGTCTATATATGGATGTGTGCCTGATGCCGCCCCTCATCTCTGATGCTCCGCTGGGCGCGCAATATCAAGTATAGGCTATGTAGTGTGGTCTCAATCAAATGACCCATAGCCTATATGCTATAGGCTACGAAGTGCATGCTGGGAGAAGCACAGAGCAAAGTTCTATTTCTAGGATAGCTGCAGTGGATATTCCCACCCTGAGCCCCGGCTGCATTACACACTGCTGTGGATATTCCCACCCTGAGCCCCGGCTGCATTACACACTGCAGTGGATATTCCCACCCTGAGCCCCGGCTGCATTACACACTGCAGTGGATATTCCCACCCTGAGCCCCGGCTGCATTACACACTGCAGTGGATATTCCCACCCTGAGCCCCGGCTGCATTACACACTGCAGTGGATATTCCCACCCTGAGCCCCGGCTGCATTACACACTGCAGTGGATATTCCCACCCTGAGCCCCGGCTGCATTACACACTGCAGTGGATATTCCCACCCTGAGCCCCGGCTGCATTACACACTGCAGTGGATATTCCCACCCTGAGCCCCGGCTGCATTACACACTGCAGTGGATATTCCCACCCTGAGCCCCGGCTGCATTACACACTGCAGTGGATATTCCCACCCTGAGCCCCGGCTGCATTACACACTGCAGTGGATATTCCCACCCTGAGCCCCGGCTGCATTACACACTGCAGTGGATATTCCCACCCTGAGCCCCGGCTGCATTACACACTGCAGTGGATATTCCCACCCTGAGCCCCGGCTGCATTACACACTGCAGTGGATATTCCCACCCTGAGCCCCGGCTGCATTACACACTGCAGTGGATATTCCCACCCTGAGCCCCGGCTGCATTACACACTGCAGTGGATATTCCCACCCTGAGCCCCGGCTGCATTACACACTGCAGTGGATATTCCCACCCTGAGCCCCGGCTGCATTACACACTGCAGTGGATATTCCCACCCTGAGCCCCGGCTGCATTACACACTGCAGTGGATATTCCCACCCTGAGCCCCGGCTGCATTACACACTGCAGTGGATATTCCCACCCTGAGCCCCGGCTGCATTACACACTGCAGTGGATATTCCCACCCTGAGCCCCGGCTGCATTACACACTGCAGTGGATATTCCCACCCTGAGCCCCGGCTGCATTACACACTGCAGTGGATATTCCCACCCTGAGCCCCGGCTGCATTACACACTGCAGTGGATATTCCCACCCTGAGCCCCGGCTGCATTACACACTGCAGTGGATATTCCCACCCTGAGCCCCGGCTGCATTACACACTGCAGTGGATATTCCCACCCTGAGCCCCGGCTGCATTACACACTGCAGTGGATATTCCCACCCTGAGCCCCGGCTGCATTACACACTGCAGTGGATATTCCCACCCTGAGCCCCGGCTGCATTACACACTGCAGTGGATATTCCCACCCTGAGCCCCGGCTGCATTACACACTGCAGTGGATATTCCCACCCTGAGCCCCGGCTGCATTACACACTGCAGTGGATATTCCCACCCTGAGCCCCGGCTGCATTACACACTGCAGTGGATATTCCCACCCTGAGCCCCGGCTGCATTACACACTGCAGTGGATATTCCCACCCTGAGCCCCGGCTGCATTACACACTGCAGTGGATATTCCCACCCTGAGCCCCGGCTGCATTACACACTGCAGTGGATATTCCCACCCTGAGCCCCGGCTGCATTACACACTGCAGTGGATATTCCCACCCTGAGCCCCGGCTGCATTACACACTGCAGTGGATATTCCCACCCTGAGCCCCGGCTGCATTACACACTGCAGTGGATATTCCCACCCTGAGCCCCGGCTGCATTACACACTGCAGTGGATATTCCCACCCTGAGCCCCGGCTGCATTACACACTGCAGTGGATATTCCCACCCTGAGCCCCGGCTGCATTACACACTGCAGTGGATATTCCCACCCTGAGCCCCGGCTGCATTACACACTGCAGTGGATATTCCCACCCTGAGCCCCGGCTGCATTACACACTGCAGTGGATATTCCCACCCTGAGCCCCGGCTGCATTACACACTGCAGTGGATATTCCCACCCTGAGCCCCGGCTGCATTACACACTGCAGTGGATATTCCCACCCTGAGCCCCGGCTGCATTACACACTGCAGTGGATATTCCCACCCTGAGCCCCGGCTGCATTACACACTGCAGTGGATATTCCCACCCTGAGCCCCGGCTGCATTACACACTGCAGTGGATATTCCCACCCTGAGCCCCGGCTGCATTACACACTGCAGTGGATATTCCCACCCTGAGCCCCGGCTGCATTACACACTGCAGTGGATATTCCCACCCTGAGCCCCGGCTGCATTACACACTGCAGTGGATATTCCCACCCTGAGCCCCGGCTGCATTACACACTGCAGTGGATATTCCCACCCTGAGCCCCGGCTGCATTACACACTGCAGTGGATATTCCCACCCTGAGCCCCGGCTGCATTACACACTGCAGTGGATATTCCCACCCTGAGCCCCGGCTGCATTACACACTGCAGTGGATATTCCCACCCTGAGCCCCGGCTGCATTACACACTGCAGTGGATATTCCCACCCTGAGCCCCGGCTGCATTACACACTGCAGTGGATATTCCCACCCTGAGCCCCGGCTGCATTACACACTGCAGTGGATATTCCCACCCTGAGCCCCGGCTGCATTACACACTGCAGTGGATATTCCCACCCTGAGCCCCGGCTGCATTACACACTGCAGTGGATATTCCCACCCTGAGCCCCGGCTGCATTACACACTGCAGTGGATATTCCCACCCTGAGCCCCGGCTGCATTACACACTGCAGTGGATATTCCCACCCTGAGCCCCGGCTGCATTACACACTGCAGTGGATATTCCCACCCTGAGCCCCGGCTGCATTACACACTGCAGTGGATATTCCCACCCTGAGCCCCGGCTGCATTACACACTGCAGTGGATATTCCCACCCTGAGCCCCGGCTGCATTACACACTGCAGTGGATATTCCCACCCTGAGCCCCGGCTGCATTACACACTGCAGTGGATATTCCCACCCTGAGCCCCGGCTGCATTACACACTGCAGTGGATATTCCCACCCTGAGCCCCGGCTGCATTACACACTGCAGTGGATATTCCCACCCTGAGCCCCGGCTGCATTACACACTGCAGTGGATATTCCCACCCTGAGCCCCGGCTGCATTACACACTGCAGTGGATATTCCCACCCTGAGCCCCGGCTGCATTACACACTGCAGTGGATATTCCCACCCTGAGCCCCGGCTGCATTACACACTGCAGTGGATATTCCCACCCTGAGCCCCGGCTGCATTACACACTGCAGTGGATATTCCCACCCTGAGCCCCGGCTGCATTACACACTGCAGTGGATATTCCCACCCTGAGCCCCGGCTGCATTACACACTGCAGTGGATATTCCCACCCTGAGCCCCGGCTGCATTACACACTGCAGTGGATATTCCCACCCTGAGCCCCGGCTGCATTACACACTGCAGTGGATATTCCCACCCTGAGCCCCGGCTGCATTACACACTGCAGTGGATATTCCCACCCTGAGCCCCGGCTGCATTACACACTGCAGTGGATATTCCCACCCTGAGCCCCGGCTGCATTACACACTGCAGTGGATATTCCCACCCTGAGCCCCGGCTGCATTACACACTGCAGTGGATATTCCCACCCTGAGCCCCGGCTGCATTACACACTGCAGTGGATATTCCCACCCTGAGCCCCGGCTGCATTACACACTGCAAGTTGGATATTCCCACCCTGCAGCCCCGGTCTGCATTACACACTGCAGTGGATATTCCCACCCTGAGCCCCGGCTGCATTACCACACTGCAGTGGATTATCCCACCTGAGCCCCGGCTGCATTACACACTGCAGTGGATATTCCAACCCTGAGCCCCGGCCTGCTTTAGCTCTTGCTGATCAAATAAACTTTGTGTGCTGCTTAACCAATGGCTGTGCTGTGCTGTCTAACCCAATAGGACGTGGATTAACCAAGGGCTGTGCGTCTAACCAATGGCTGTGCTGGCTTAACCAATGGCTGTGCTGTATAACCAATGGACTGTGCTGTGCTGTCTAACCAATGGAGGTGCTGTCTAACCAATGGCTGTGCTGTGCGTCTAACCAATGGCTGTTTGCTGTGCTGTCTAACCAAGGGCTGTGCTGTGCTGTCTAACCAATGGCTGTGCTGTGCTGTCTAACCAATGGCTGTGCTGTGCTGTCTAACCAATGGCTGTGCTGTCTGTCTAACCAATGGCTGTGCTGTGCTGTCTAACCAATGGATGTGCTGTCTAACCAATGGCTGTGCTGTGCTGTCTAACCAATGGCTGTGCTGTCTAACCAATGGCTGTGCTGTGCTGTCTAACCAATGGATGTGCTGTGTGTCTAACCAATGGCTGTGCTGTCTAACCAATGGATGTGCTGTGTTGTCTAACCAATGGCTGTGCTGTCTAACCAATGGATGTGCTGTGCTGTCTAACCAATGGATGTGCTGTGTTGTCTAACCAATGGATGTGCTGTGTGTCTAACCAATGGATGTGCTGTGCTGTCTAACCAATGGATGTGCTGTGTAGGCCTACGGTGGCAAAAAGCACAGGCCTACCCCTTGATAGCTTAAGATTTTGAAGAAAATAAAAAGGGATCTGATAATATATTGTAAAGTGATCTATAACAGCGCTTTGGTCCGCGATGCTTTATGCTAGAAACAAGCTGTAAAATACCAGGGAAAGATGTGACTCGGATGCATTTGGGGATATCATTGTTTAGTTTCTTTGACATTCGGAGGCGGAGCTACAACCTTCTATAGCCGAGGAGACAAAAACATTGACTTTGCTTGGGAAGTAATCTAATTCTGTCACTATCAATTGATTAAGCTATTCACCTTCTGGACAATAGAAGAGTGTTTAAACCCAGACAGCTTTTAGGGAAACACTTGTGACCTTCTCTCGTTGGGTTAAGCCATGGAAGAAGAGTAGCCAGCAGTTAAATCTTTCTGCGTCGGTAGGCCTACTCTGTCTGGGGTGGAAAGGTAAGCCTGACTTTGGAAAGTACCACGCTCGGATTCCTAATGACTTCTCAGATGTAGTTACTGGCAAACAAGACTCACTGATTTGGCATTGGAGAAATATGATAAGATGAACACATAGGCCTATCTCTCTGTCCATTCTTAGCCCGTCATTTCGGTAATTTGTGTGGTATTAATTAAAAAAAGATTCTGCTAACATGTAAAATGACGTAGAAATGCATGAAATGTTTATAAAAAGGCACATTTTTCTTGGACCTGCAAACACGATGACAGATTCATTCAAAGCTTTTACTATAAAGGATATCTTTCTACCCCACGGTCTGAAATCTGTGTCTGAAAGTTTTGCCTACTACTAAAACGACATACTGGGTACTACATACTGGGTACTAATCGTACTACATACTGGGTACTAATCGTACTACATACTGGGTACTACATACTGGGTACTACATACTGGGTACTACTCGTACTAGATACTGGGTACTACATACTGGGTACTAATCGTACTACATACTGGGTACTACTCGTACGAGATACTGGGTACTACATACAGTTAGTTCAAGTCAGAAGTTTCCATACACCTCAGCCAAATACATTTAAACTCAGTTTTTCACAATTCCTGACATTTAATCCTAGTAAAAATTCCCTGTCTTAGGTCAGTTAGGATCACCACTTTATTTTAAGAATGTGAAATGTCAGAATAATAGTAGAGAGAGATTTATTTCAGCTTTTATTTCTTTCATCACATTCCCAGTGGGTCAGAAGTTTACATACACTCAATTAGTATTCGGTAGCATTGCCTTTAAAATAGTTTAACTTGGTTCAAACATTTCGGGTAGCCTTCCACAAGCTTCGCACAATAAGTTGGGTGAATTTTGGCCCATTCCTCCTGACAGAGCTGGTGTAACTGAGTCAGGTTTGTATGCCTCCTTGCTCGCACACGCTTTTTCAGTTCTGCCCACACATTTTCTATTGGATTGAGGTCAGGGCTTTGTGATGGCCACTCCAATACCTTGACTTTGTTGTCCTTAAGCAATTTTGCCACAACTTTGGAAGTATGCTTGGGGTCATTGTCCATTTTGAAGACCCATTTGCGACCAAGCTTTAACTTCCTGACTGATGTCTTGAGATGTTGCTTCAATATATCCACACAATTTTCCTTCCTCATGATGCCATCTATTTTGTGAATTGCACCAGTCCTTCCTGCAGCAAAGCACCCCCACAGCATGATGCTGCCACCCCCGTGCTTCACGATTGGGATGGTGTTCTTTGGCTTGCAAGCACCCCCTTTTTCCTCCAAACATAACGATGGTCATTATGGCCAAACAGTTCTATTTTTGTTTCATCAGACCAGAGGACATTTCTCCAAAAAGTACGATCTTTGTCCCCATGTGCATTTGCAAACCGTAGTCTGGCTTTTTTATGGCGGTTTTGGAGCAGTGGCTTCTTCCTTGCTGAGCAGCATTTCAGGTTATGTCGATATAGGACTCGCTTTACTGTGGATAGAGATACTTTTGTACCTGTTTCCTCCACAAGGTATCTTCACAAGGTCCTTTGCTGTTGTTCTGGGATTGATTTGCTCTTTTCGCACCAAAGTACGTTCATCTCTAGGAGACAGAACGCGTCTCCTTCCTGAGCGGTATGACGGCTGCGTGGTCCCATGGGGTTTATGCTTGCGTACTATTGTTTGTACAGATGAACGTGGTACCTTCAGACGTTTGAAAATTGCTCCCAAGGATGAACCAGACTTGTGGAGGTCTACAATTCTTTTTCTGAGGTCTTGGCTGATTTATTTTCATTTTCCCATGATGTCAAGCAAAGAGGCACTGAGTTTGAAGGTAGGCCTTGAAATACATCCACAGGTACACCTCCAATTGACTCAAATGATGTCAATTAACCTATCAGAAGCTTCTAAAGTCATGACATCATTTTCTGGAATTTTCCAAGCTGTTTAAAGGCACAGTCAACTTCGTGTATGTAAACGTCTGACCCACTGGAATTGTGATACAGTGAATTATAAGTGAAATAATCTGTCTGTAAACAATTGTTGGAAAAATTACTTGTGTCATGCACAAAGTAGATGTCCTAACCAACTTGCCAAAACTATAGTTTGTTAACAAGAAATTTGTGGAGTGGTTGAAAAACAAGTTTTAATGACTCCAACCTAAGTGTATCTAAACCTCCGACTTCAACTGTACTGGGTACTACATACTGGGTACTAATCGTACTACATACTGGGTACTAATCATACTACATACTGGGTACTAATCATACTACATTCTGGGTACTACATTCTGGGTACTACATACTGGGTAGTAATCGTACTACATACTTCATACTGGGTAGTAATCGTACTACACACTGGGTACTACATACTGGGTAGTAATCGTACTACATACTGGGTACTACATACTGGGTAGTAATCGTACTACATATTGGGTAGTAATCGTACTACATACTGGGTAGTAATCGTACTACATACTGGGTACTACATACTGGGTAGTAATCGTACTACATATTGGGTAGTAATCGTACTACATATTGGGTAGTAATCGTACTACATACTGGGTACTACATACTGGGTAGTAATCGTACTACATACTGGGTAGTAATCGTACTACATACTGGGTAGTAACCGTACTACATACTGGGTAGTAATCGTACTACACACTAAGTACTACATACTGGGTACTAAATCATACTGGGTAGTAATCGTACTACACACTGGGTACTACATACTGGGTAGTAATCGTACTACATACTGGGTACTACATACTGGGTAGTAATCGTACTACATATTGGGTAGTAATCGTACTACATACTGGGTAGTAATCGTACTACATACTGGGTAGTAACCGTACTACATACTGGGTAGTAATCGTACTACACACTAAGTACTACATACTGGGTACTAAATCATACTGGGTAGTAATCGTACTACATACTGGGTAGTAACCGTACTACATACTGGGTAGTAATCGTACTACACACTTCATACTACATACTGGGTAGTAATCGTACTACATACTGGGTAGTAATCGTACTACACACTGGGTAGTACATACTGGGTAGTAATTGTACTACATACTGGGTACTAAATCATACTGGGTAGTAATCGTACTACATGTAGCTCAGTTGGTAGAGCATGGCGTTTGCAACGCCAGGGTTGTGGGTTTGATAAAATAATGTATGTGCTAACTGTAAGTCGCTCTGGAAAAGAGCGTCTGCTAAATGACTTAAATGTAAATGTAAATCCTGGGTAGTAATCGTACTACACACTGGGTACTACATACTGGGTAGTAATCGTACTACATACTGGGTACTAAATCATACTGGGTAGTAATCGTACTACACACTGGGTACTACATACTGGGTAGTAATCGTACTACATACTATTTTGAATATACTGTTTAGTAAAATCTAATCAAATCAACCCCCATATACTCATCCATGATGAGAAGGCGTCATCTAATGCGCAATTGTGTCAATTGTGTTCATTTTTGGTACAACGCGTCACCATATCTGATTATCAGCTGTTGTCAAACACACGTGGGTCTCGAAAAACTATTCTCTTCCTCAATAGTGTACAGCGAATTCTACTAGATGAAAAGCCAAAATGAGTATGACATCATGAGCTGAAATCAGTATGACATCATGAGCCAAAATGAGTATGACACACAATCAGTGCACACCTCCATGCTCAGTGGAAAGTCCCGCTCTCAGGTTATTCATTTCAGTCATGTGAGAGAGACAGAGACAGAGAGACAGACAGAGAGACAGAGACCAAGAGAGAGAGAGACAGAGAGAGAGAGATGGGGCTAGTGTTCTCACATTCTGATTCATAACAAGGGACTCAGTCTCAGAGCAAAATCGCTGGTTTTATCCCAGTCTCTCCCTCCACAAATCATTCAATTTGCAACAAGACCGGCCATTGAAGCCACGCGCTGTAACCATTTCACTACAGCCATTCACTATACAAGAATATCTTAGCTTTGTGTCAAAATGTGATGTTTAACACTGGGCCTTCATTTAACATCATATGCATCTAATTTCAGCTCCAACTCACTGACTAGACTCCAGGGAGCCAGCGGTAGTAGTACTACTAGCTTCCATCCCAAATGGCACCCTAGTCCCTATATAGTGCACTACTTTTGATCAGGGCCCATAGGGCTGTGGTCTAATGTAGTGCACTATATAGAGAATAAGTGGGCCAATTGGGACGCAAACTGCGTGTAAATTGAAAGACTGTGCCAAAGTAATTCCTTCCCTGTGGATTAGCTGCTCTTGGAGTGGTAATTACCAGGATATGATTTTTTTTAAATGATTTCAAAAATGGGTATTTGCCAAAGAGAGGAGGGGCCTAGCTTGCTCGCACCCAACCCCATTCATACAGTATTGAAATAGATGAGACCACCTTTCTGACTTGAAGATGCACTATGCAGAAATCACTCCGCCATTTTCTGGTTGCTAAAATTGTAATAGTTAGCCTAATTTCAGTTTGTGACAAAACAAGCAGGTATAGTGTAGTGCAGGGCTGCCCAACCCTCTTCCTGGAGAAAGGTTTTCAGTCCAACCCTAATTTAGCATATCTGATTCAGCTAGTTAAGGTCTTGTTGAGCAGCTAATAAGTAGAATCAGGTGTGTTAAATTAGGGTTGGACTGAAAACCCACAGGACGGTAGATCTCCGGGAAGAGGGTTGGGCAGCCCCGGTGTAGACAATCATTGTACCATTTAAACTGCTGTGAATGATCTTTTCCACAACCCAAAAAATTATATTTTCAGCTGTTCTAAAGCCGGTGCACAAAACCAAACGTTAAAAGACACAAACACTAAAACGTAAGAATGGGACGCATAGAAATAACGTACATAGTACGGATCTACCGCTTCTTAGACATCCTTTCAATTACAGATCTATAAAACACACATTTATGTGAATTTGGTCGGGTCACCCGAAAAGTTACATATTGCAGCTTTAAAAATATGAATATCAAGCCTCTTATGAAACATTGTCACACACATAGCAAGAGATTTAACAAGATGAATGTCCATTCTTCTTCTGGTCACTTCTGACAAGTGGCGCAGTTGCCCCTTGAGTTCAGTGCAGGAAGGAATGCTGAGACTCTGCACTGCAACAGGTCTCCATTGTGACATTCCACACACATTAGATATGGAGACCAGTCACATGCCAACCAGTATATAACTAGCCTACACTGAAGGCCAATGGAAAGGAGGTCTACAAAATGAACAGAATATAGAGGGCATATTTATTACAGGTTATTCAGGTTATCATAGATACTGTACATAAAAAATCAAACTAATGTGTTTCTAATGTGTAGTTGAGGATAAGGAATGGTAAGAACATTAAAGGGAACAGTGATATCATAAGTTATAGTAAAGCCCCCTTTTACTGGCTCAAACAGCCGACCAATCAGCCTGTTACCAACCCTTAGTAAACGTTTGGAAAAAATGGTGTTTGACCAGATAAAATGCTATTTTACAGTAAACGAATTGACAACAGACTTCCAGCACACTTATAGGGAAGGACAATCAACAAGCACAGCACTGACACAAATGACTGATGATTGGCTGAGAGAAATTGATGATAAAAAGATTGTGGGGGCTGTTTTGTAAGACTTCAGTGCGGCTTTTGACATTATCGACCAATGTCTGTTGCTGGAAAAACGTATTACTATATTGTGGATAAAGAGTTACCTGTCTAACAGAACACAGAGGGTGTTCTTTAATGGAAGTCTCTCCAACAAAATCCAGGTATAATCAGGAATTCCCCAGGGCAGCTGTCTAGGCCCCTTACTTTTTAAAATCTTTACTAACGACATGCCACTGGCCACTTGGCAAGGAATAAGTTAGTCCTAAATATTTCAAAAACTAAAAGCATTGTATTTGGGACAAATAATTCTTGTAATGAATAATGTGGAAATTTAGCAAATTGAGGAGACTAAATTGCTTGGAGTAACCCTGCATTGTAAACGGACTTGGTCAAAACATATTGATACAACAGTAGCTAAGATGGGGAGAAGTCTGTCCATAATTAAGCACTGCTCTGCCTTCTTAACAACACTATCAACAAGGCAGGTCCTACAGGCCCTAGTTTGGTCTCACCTGGACTACTGTTCAGTCGTGTGGTCAGGTGCCACAAAGAGGGACTTAGGAAAATTGCAGTTGGCTCAGAACAGGGCAGCACGGCTGGCCCTTGGATGTACACAGAGAGCTAACATTAATAATATGCATGTGAATCTCTCCTGGCTCAAAGTGGAGGAGAGATTAGACTTCATCACTACTTGTATTTGTGAGAGGTATTGACATGTTGAATGCACCGAGCTGTCTGTTTGAACTACTGGCACACAGCTCGGACACCCATGTGTACCCCAGAAGACATGCCACCAGAGGTCTCTTTATAGTCCCCAAGTCAAGAACAGACTACGGGAAGCGCACAGTACTACATAGAGCCATGACTACATGGAACTCTATTCCACATCAAGTAACTCATGCCAGCAGTAAAATTAGATTTTAAAAAACAGATAAAAATACACCTTATGGAACAGCGGGGACTGTGACGCAACATACGCACTATACACACAATGTACACATGGATTTTGTGTTATAGATATGTGGTAGTAGAGTAGAGGCCTGAGGGCACACACTTAATATGTTGTGAAATCTGTTATGAATGTATTGTAATGTTTTTAAAATGTATAACTGCCTTAATTTTGCTGGACCGCAGGAAGAGTAGCTGCTGCGGGGATCCATAATAAATACAAATACTAGAGAAGAAGTCAGAGTAGCTCAGGACATTGTTCTTTCTAGCAGCTGGGCTGCGTTCAGTACGTTTTTACGCTCTGGAACATTCAATTGAACAGAAAACGTACTGTACTGAACGACCAGCTGAAACACAGGGAGGGGTTGGGGGTTAGGGAACGCTGTCACCATGGCCACTGCCCTTTAAATACCTCACTCATTGCTTCAAGCCACACCCACCAAATGGGCGCAAACGTACCTCAAAGTCTGTTCAAGAATGTACAAGAACGTTTTGGGGAAACGTGTCGTTCAGTACAAACCGTTCCGCAACTTAGCAAACGTTCAAGCGAACTGAACGCATCTCTGGTCTTTTGGACCATAGCCAATCAACAGAGGCCTCATTCATAAAACTGTGCTACTTACAAAATATACCCCAAAATGAACAGTTCGGCAGTTCACTTTAGACCATGTGTATGCACATCTGCTAGTGGTTTAAATATTGTATTACAAGCTGGCAAGTAAGTATTTTGTGCAAATGGGGGTTAAGATGGAAAACAGATTAACACGAATCCAACCAATCTTGCTTTAAAAAAAAATTTTTAGAATCAAATAATTTGACATAGGAATCTTTATCCTATTTATTTTAATAACCATTTGCAGAATATATTCCTCACAGTTACGTTTTTAATGTCACAAGTAGACCTACAGTGAACTGCCTTTCTTGCTTGTTCTTTCCCAACAACGCAGCAATGAGTACCAGTAGTAGGCTATACAACATTTATAACTAAATAGATAAAAGAGAAATAGAACTGTAACTATTATAAGTACTGTAAAAAATAAAATACAACATTTGGCCTTCCCTACAGAATTCGCGGGCAATCAATCATATTTAGGTTGGGGGAAAAGTGGATGCAAAACATTGTTGAATTAAAATGTTCTGCTGACAGATCCATGACGTTCTGCTGACAGATCCACAACAATATGCCATCGTTTTCTTTTTCAGATAAATATATTAAATATATAAATAAAGCACAAATTAGCATAAATTACTGCTAAAGATTAAAACACAGTAAATAGACCGGTAGTTTATGTAAAATATTTGACAGTATGTCGTAGGCTACAGTATTGCTGTGATAGGAGCACGACATCCTCGACTATTTAATCTCAGAGCCTAGGTCTATACAAAGGCAGGACATATATACCCAATAATCTATTAATAAACTAAATATTGAACAACAATTCATCTTTTGCCAATCGTTCCACGTGATACAGCAAATAAAGGGCGTTATTGTCACCATAAAAAGTGAACGGAGTAGTTTTCCAGGCTGAGTTTTAAAGCTCTTTCACATGCACACAGTTTTACAACAACTGTTATAAATGAGGCGGCAGATGTTTCAAATGGCTGGTTGCGCTCTCAACCATTTGGTGGGTGTGGTTTCAAATGGCTGGTTGCTCTCTCAGACGTGGGGTATCCAGCCCAGGACCTCCACATCTGGCTTCTTCACCTGCGGAATCGTCTCAGACCAGCCACCCGGACAGCTGATGAAACTGAGGAGTATTTCTGTCCGTAATAAAGCCCTTTTGTGGGGAAAAAACTGATTCTGATTGGCTGGGGTCTGGCTCCCCAGTGGGTTGGCCTGGCTGCCAAGTGGGTGGGCCTATGCCCTCCCAGGCCCACCCATGTCTACGCCACTGCCCAGTCATGTGAAATCCATAGATTAGGACCTAATGAATTTTTCAATTGACTGATTTCCTTATATGAACTCAGTAAAATCTTTGAAATTATTCCATGTTGCTTTTATATTTTTGTTCAGTGTACATTTGGTATGGTTACATGAGACAAAAATAAAAGTCTAGCAACCCAAATGCTGTGAGTTCGGATCTCATCACAGACAGCTTTAGCATTTTAGCAACTACTTAGTATACGTTTACATTTACATTTTAGTCATTTAGCAGACACTCTTATCCAGAGCGACTTACAGGAGCAATTAGGGTTAAGTGCCTTGCTCAAGGGCACGTCGACAGATTTTTCACCTAGTCAGCTCGGGGATTAGAACCAGCGACCTTTCGGTTACTGGCACAACGCTCTTAACCACTAAGCTACCTGCCGCCCCAGGTTAGCTAACCCTTCCGCTAACCCTTTAACCTAACTCCTAAACTAAACCATAACCCCTAGCCTAGCTAACATTAGCCAGCTAGATAACTTTAGCCACCTAACTAGAATTTGTAACATATCATAATATTTGCAAATCTGTAAGATATTGTAAGTTTTGCACATTTGTAAGATATTGTATGTTTTTCAAATTCGTAACATATAATACAAATTGTCATTCGTAACATATTATACAAAATGGGTGATGGCCATCCACAAATGAATACATATCATATGAAAACGTAAAATATCATACTAAAAATGGAGTGTCTCGGATTTATGTACAGAATAATACGAAATGCTCTGAGACCAGGTTGTTGCCACCTATAGCTAACTGGCCAGTAAGGTCACTATAGCAAATTGGCAGCATCCAAATGTAAGGTTTGCGAGGATCCAGACTTATGAATGACAGTAAAAGGACCTTAATGTAGTCAGTTTACAGTCTAACGTTGAACTTATAACTTACCTGATGAGTCTGTGTGGGACTCCGAACCGGAGGACACCGCCGGTTTCTTAAACGGTCCCCCGGTTAGCGGGAAGGTGAGAACAGCAGCCGGGTCCACGCAATCCGTCGCCAAGCTACTGAGAACCGGAACCGGCGCGTCCACGGACATCGTCACACACTGCGCCCTCCCGGTGGTGTTGATGCCAGCTCCCACCTGCTGCAAGGCCGGTTTGTTCGGCCCCGACCCGGGACAGGAGGCGAGTTGCTCCCCGACAACTTTCTCCAGCTGCTTGCCCGCCGAGAAGCTGCTCCACATGCAGTCCTGGATGATAATGGAGCTCAGGTTCCCCAAAGTCTCGTCGGCGGGACTGAGTTTACACGGCACATCCTGGTCGTCCTCTTGACCCAAAAACTGGGACACCCACTCGAGTTTGTCCCCCAGCGAAGGGTAGACCATCCCGACAACGGCTGCCCCCTCCAAAGTCCGGATAGGGGACATGGGCGGGGTCGGTACTAGCTCGAATTTCTTCCATATGTCCTCACTGGGCGCAGTGGATTTAAAGAAATCCTCATCCAGATCGTGGTCGTCGTAGAAGTAATGTTGGTAGCGGTCGTACTCCATCTCCCAGCCTGACTCATAGTGAGGGGCAGTGGTGGAGTTTATGCCCGGCATTTAGAGGTCAGGCCAGGCGTGGGTGCGGGAGCGCACTCTTCAACTGTTCACTTATCTCCGTTATCAATAGCCTACCTGGGGACACAGAGAGAGAGTTAACATACGTTTCCCATGCCAATAAAGCCCTTAAATTGAAATTGAATTGAAATTGAGAGAGAGTACTGGGAATCAGCCTAGCACGTTGCACTAGTGATAAACACAATAGTCTGTTATGATAAGACTATTGTGTTTCTGTCCATCTTACAGCTGTCAATACCAAGCGAAAACATTTCCTTCTCAAATGAGGAAATGTAACGTTAGGTTATCACGATTTATCATTAAAAAACACTGTCCTTTTTAGATTTCTTATTGCATAGAACATGTCAAGTGACAAGTCCTTTATGCTTACTTGAAGTGTTGAAAGGCTATTTGGTTCTAGATTCAGTAGGCCCTAATTATATTGAAACCAATTACCCCGTGAACAACCTTGCTACTACAATGTTGCAAATGATTGTTAGAAACATTGTTGCCACCATCGCCTTGCAACAGTGTACACAGAACTAAACAACTCAAAGAGTCCCAACATAGTTGCATTACTTAATACAACAGTGCCCCTACACCGGTGAAATAGATCCACAGTTCGTAGGCTAAAAGCTTATCGCATCCCGTCTGTTTCTTTGTGGTTACTAGGCTACAAACATGCCATTTAAATTGTGTGCAAAACAACAGTTCCCAGATGTCTCAATAAAAAGTTTGAAAACGTCTTCAGAGCAACGCTCACCGTTTTACGGTAGACAACAACACAAAGCATTGAAAAGAAAGAGAGAAAATATATTTCCAATCCCACTGGTAAATCTAGACTAAATAATTAACAACAGGCGTATTTACAACCCAAACTTCCGAAACACTGCGATATAGGCTTTCTTCTAGTAGTGGGCGTTAGTCTAGAAATACAAGCCGTTCAGTCCGGCCAAGGAAAAATACAAATGTTATCTTTTACGTGTTGGTGAAATTGAAGGAGCGTCTTGCGTCTTCTTCATTAATTCCTATAATGAGTAGCCAGACCAACACCGCGACACTGAAGCTTCTTGCAGTAAATTACTGTCGCTAATTCGCTGTTGCTTCCAGTTGAACGCTCACTATTTCACTCCTGCGCACCAAACTGTATTAGAAAGTGACTCGTAGTCTTCTGCCTCCCACAAGCCGCGACTTGGATAGGATAGATTTAGCTGAGAGAGAAATAGATTTAGCTCTGGATACAAGTCGACTGCTACTCTATATGATGCGAGGAACGAAAAGCAGAGATTTGCATAAAGGGCGGAGGGGAGTAAGGAGGCCACGCCTACCGTTTAAAGGGACAGAATCATTTTTAAGGAGTGCTTTTCCAAGGACGTCACGATGCCAAATGGGACCCAATTGACAGTGATTTTTATAACCATGACAATGGACACATTTCACTTATACAGGGGTAAGGCTTTGCATATACCTGGGATAGTATAAAAGTAATCCTTCTACCCCCCCCACCCCACCCCCACAAAAATAAAAAAATAAAAACAAAATAAAACAACAATATATATATATATATATATATATATATATATATATATAAAACAAATGGAAATGGAAATGAAAAATATACTCTAAAAATAAAAATATATATTTTTTGAAAAATAAAAATAAAAATATTTGTAAAGTGGTTGTCCCACTGGCTATCATAAGGTGAATGCACCAATTTGTAAGTCGCTCTGGATAAGAGTGTCTGCTAAATGACGTAAATGTAATGTAAATGTAAGTGTGTGAATGTGTGTCCACGCACTAGCTTACTGTGTGTGTGTGTGTGTGTGTGTGTGTGTGTGTGTGTGTGTGTGTGTGTGTGTGTGTGTGTGTGTGTGTGTGTGTGTGTGTGTGTGTGTGTGTGTGTGTGTGTGTGTGTGTGTTGTTACAGAAATATGGCTGCGGTGTCTGATGTCCTCAACCTATATCTCTGTGGTCAATATCAGCCTTATGAGGTGAAAGACCCCCACTGTCTCTCAGTCGATAGTGAAGCCAAGCCAGCGCTCTGCTCTGCTAAGCCAAGTGTGTCTGCTCAACAGCTGCACGCACAGCTGTTGTCAACTCACAGACAGACAGAAACACACGTGCATGGGGAAACAGACAGATACTCACACAGACCCACATACATTCTGTTCTGTTCTGCTACTTCTCTCCACCTAAAATCGTACTTTGCAGTCTATTGTGGAATGTGAATCAGTAATGAGCGTATTATATAATGAACAACAATATAAACTCAACATTATATATATATATAACATATTATATGAACTAAACACTATGAAGTTAAATCAGCTGAGATAGTGCTTCTCTATCCACCCTCTCAGTCAGCCCATTATCTACTGGCTCTATCCCCTCAGTCAGCCCATTATCTACTGGCTCTATCCCCCCCTCAGTCAGCCCATTATCTACTGGCTCTATCCCCCTCTCAGTCAGCCCATTATCTACTGGCTCTATCCCCCTCTCAGTCAGCCCATTATCTACTGGCTCTATCCACCCCTCAGTCAGCCCATTATCTACTGGCTCTATCCCCCTCAGTCAGCCCATTATCTACTGGCTCTATCCACCCCTCAGTCAGCCCATTATCTACTGGCTCTATCTTCCTCAGTCAGCCCATTATCTACTGGCTCTATCCACCCCTCAGTCAGCCCATTACCTACTGGCTCTATCCCCCTCAGTCAGCCCATTATCTACTGGCTCTATCCCCTCAGTCAGCCCATTATCTACTGGCTCTATCCCCTCAGTCAGCCCATTATCTACTGGCTCTATCCCCCTCAGTCAGCCCATTATCTACTGGCTCTATCCCCTCAGTCAGCCCATTATCTACTGGCTCTATCCCCCTCAGTCAGCCCATTATCTACTGGCTCTATCCCCTCAGTCAGCCCATTATCTACTGGCTCTATCCCCCTCAGTCAGCCCATTATCTACTGGCTCTATCCCCTCAGTCAGCCCATTATCTACTGGCTCTATCCCCCTCAGTCAGCCCATTAGCTACTGGCTCTATCCCCCTCTCAGTCAGCCCATTATCTACTGGCTCTATCCACCCTTCAGTCAGCCCATTATCTACTGGCTCTATCCCCCTCTCAGTCAGCCCATTATCTACTGACTCTATCCCCCTCAGTCAGCCCATTATCTACTGGCTCTATCCACCCTTCAGTCAGCCCATTATCTACTGGCTCTATCCCCCTCTCAGTCAGCCCATTAGCTACTGGCTCTATCCACCCTTCAGTCAGCCCATTATCTACTGGCTCTATCCCCCTCTCAGTCAGCCCATTATCTACTGACTCTATCCACCTCTCAGTCAGCCCATTATCTACTGGCTCTATCCACCTCTCAGTCAGCCCATTATCTACTGACTCTATCCCCCTCAGTCAGCCCATTATCTACTGACTCTATCCACCCCTCAGTCAGCCCATTATCTACTGACTCTATCCCCCTCAGTCAGCCCATTATCTACTGGCTCTATCCCCCTCAGTCAGCCCATTATCTACTGACTCTATCCCCCTCAGTCAGCCCATTATCTACTGACTCTATCCCCCTCAGTCAGCCCATTATCTACTGGCTCTATCCACCCCTCAGTCAGCCCATTATCTACTGGCTCTATCCCCCTCTCAGTCAGCCCATTATCTACTGGCTCTATCCCCCTCTCAGTCAGCCCATTATCTACTGGCTCTATCCCCCTCTCAGTCAGCCCATTATCTACTGGCTCTATCCCCCTCTCAGTCAGCCCATTATCTACTGACTCTATTCAGCCCCCCAACCCGCAGTCTCCCCCTCCAACCACCGATTATTCGCCTTGGTCAATCTCTCCATCCCTTTTCCCACACCCAAATCTCTGAGATGTTGACCTGACAGGAAATAGAGAGACTTAAGGGTTATCTCTCCTATTCCCCTGAAGGAGCTACAATAGATAAAGACTTATAGCTGAAGACTTTCTAAAGACCTGAATAAAGTGATGCTACAAACACTCTCTCTCTCTCTCTCTCTCTCTCTTCTCTCTCTCTTCTCTCTCTCTCTCTCTCTCCCCTCTCTCTCTCTCTCTCTCTCTCTCTCTCTCTCTCTCTCTCTCTCTCTCTCTCTCTCTCTCTCTCTCTCTCTCTCTTCTCTCTCTCTCTTCTCTCTCTCTCTCTCTCTACTCTCTCTTCTCTCTCTACTCTCAATTTCAATTCAATTTCAGTTTAAGGTCTTTATTGGCATGGGAAACGTATGTTAACATTGCCAAAGCAAGTGAAGTAGATAGTAAACAAAAGTGAAATAAACAATAAATATTAACAGTAAACATTACACTCAGAAGTTCCAAAAGAATAAAGACATTTCAAATGTCATATTATGTCTATATACAGTGTTGTAACAATGTGCAAATAGTTAAAGTACAAATGGGAAAATAAATAAACATAAATATGGGTTGTATTTACAATGGTGTTTGTTCTTCACTGGTTGCCCTTTTCTTGTGGCAACAGGTCACACATCTTGCTGCTGTGATGGCACACTGTGGTTTTTCACCCAGTAGATGAGGGAGTTTATCAAAATTGGGTTTGTTTTCAAATTCTTTGTGGGTCTGTGTAATCTGAGGGAAATATGTGTCTCTAATATGGTCATACATTTGGCAGGAGGTTAGGAAGTGCATCTCAGTTTCCACCTCATTTTGTGGGCAGTGTGCACATAGCCTGTCTTCTCTTGATAGCCAGGTCTGCCTACGGCGGCCTTTCTCTATAGCAAGGCTATGTTCACTGAGTCTGTACATAGTCAAAGTTTTCCTTAATTTTGGGTCAGTCACAGTGGTCAGGTATTCTGCCACTGTGCACTCTCTGTTTAGGGCCAAATAGCATTCTAGTTTGCTCTGTTTTTTTATTAATTCTTTCCAATGTGTCAAGTAATTCTATTTTTGTTTTCTCATGATTTGGTTGGGTGTAATTGTGTCGCTGTCCTGGGGCTCTGTGGGGTCTGTTTGTGTTTGTGAACAGAGCCCC